CGCTTATGCATGCGAAATTGCTTCTTGCACTTTGACGATAATCTGTTTATTTTCGCTGAGCCGAATCAATGACTGCTTTTGGCGCTTTAGCGAACAACGCTTTTCAATTAGAGCCCCATGCACTACACGGCGGACTCATCCATCCTACTGCCAGTCATTAGAGCAATGCAACTCAATTAGACGCCGCTGGGCTCCCAAAAAGGATGCAATGCAGCAAATGCAATATGCTGGTGCCGGAAAAAAACACTTTAATAGGTGCCCACATGCATGTGTGTGTGTGTATGTGTGCGTTTGTGTGTGGGTGTATGGGGATGTGTGCATGCAGTCGTGCACATTTGACACCATGAAATTGAGTGAGCTGCACGACTCGACAGTCTACACTTGCAAGAGGCAAAGGAGTTAGCTGCATACATACATATGTACATAGAACATAGTTTCTCCGGCTTGGTCACGATTTGTGTGTGCTGAATAAATGGAGAAGAGCGCCTCAATCGTATGTATATGAGTTATCGCCTCGAGCACATTGATTTATGCAGTCGCCGAGAAAACGACCCGCATGGCTGCTGAGATAAGAATTAATTGGCAAGTGCAGTGCGCAAATAAATTGCATAGCCATGCAATAGGCGAGGGTGCAGAGGGATGAATTGATGCATGAATATAGCAACCGGTCGCCGGCAGCCGTCAGCCGACAGCCGGCAGCAGGAATATGCACTACAGTGGCCGCAATCCACCAGAGCAGCAACAACCTGCATTTGCAATGCTACTCCATGCTGTGGGGCAGCAGCAGCAGCCCTTTGCTGCGCTGCGCTGCGTTGCGTTGCGTTGCGTTGCTCTTAATGTAAATGTGACAAATGTTTTACGACTGGCTGCGCCTGCCTGCATCGGCGATGACTCCTGTTGACTCTGGGCAAACACCTGTAAATGGGTTTATGCCACAGCACATATAGTACTGTATACATCCCAACGCACACACACACACACCAACACAGATACACCACCACCAACTAGCTCCGTCAGCTTGTTTGCATTTCACGCATATTTTAGCCTGCTCTGGCCCCAGTTTTCATTTGCATCCATTGCAGTTTGCATTGCATTTTTGTGCACATTTCGGGCACGCAAATCTCTACCGAGCCCACCTGCTCACCTGCTCCCCATTACTAGCTATCTGTGTGGAGCTCTCAGTTAATTAATTGCTCGGCTACCTTTCATTGTACCTCAGTATTTCAAGGTATTTACACTAAATGTGAAATATTACGCAAATCAATAATGC